TCTCCCTCATATTCTCCTCTCCCTCATATTCTCCTCTCCCTCATATTATTCTTGGTTATTATTATTTTTTCTTAAATTTTTATTTTATTATTTTTAATTCTTATTTTAATTCTTATTTTTATTATTTTCTGCAGTGATAGGACATGAGGGAATGGCTTTAAACTGAAGGAGGGTGCATTTAGACTGGATATTAGGAAGAAATTCTTCTTCCCTGTCCAGCCTGGAGAAAAGGCTCTGGGGAGACCTTGGAGCCCCTTCCAGTGCCTAAAGGGGCTCCAGGAGAGCTGGAGAGGGACTTGGGACAAGGGATGGAGGGACAGCACACAGGGAATTGCTTCCCACTGCCAGAGGGCAGGGTTAGATGGGATATTGGGAAGGAATTCTTGGCTGGGAGGGTGGTGAGGGGCTGGAATGGAATTCCCAGAGAAACTGTGGCTGCCCCATCCCTGGAAGTGTCCAAGGCCAGGCTGGATCAACCTGGGCTAGTGGAAGGTGTCCCTGCCCACGGCAGGGGATTGGAACTGGATGGTCTTTCTGCTCCCTTCCAACCCAACCCATTCCTTGACTCCATGATTATTATTATCCCCCAGAATTCCACAGTTGTTCCTTGCTATCATCGAGTTCTTTGCTAAAATAGAACTGATGCCGTTGCATCAGACTTTGGGGGGAGTCTCCTCCTCTCTGTTTTCCATCCGACCCCAAAACATTCCCTGCCTTAGAACTTGCACGGGCTGCGTTTCTCCGGAGCCTGGAGCAAAGCCGATCCTTGGATCCTCTCCCTGGATTCTGTCGCCCCCGTGTGTCCCGAGCCTGAAACGCGCTCCAGGCCCACGTGTTTCCAAGCGACGCGAACGCACCCGGAGAGAGCTTTTTTTGGGAGTTTAGCCTTGGAAACGGGTGCCTTGGTTGCAGTCTCTGGCGGAGGAGATGTTTGCTCTGATATCCGTGGGTTACCATGATTTCAGCTCCTCTGGCTGTTTTCCCGCCGCGTCCTTTTCCCGAGGAGAGTCGAAACCTGTGGAAGGCAAGTGGGGGAGGAGCAAAGAGGTGATGAAGAGGATGGAGAGAGGACGTGCAGGGCGAGGACAAGGCTTGGCTTAGCCTGGAAAACAGGGAGAGCTGCTGCATCTTCCCAAAGGCTGAGCCAGGAGGACGGGGCCGGGTCGTTCTCTGCGTTCCCGCTCCTGGAACCGCAGGGCGAGGACAGGGCTTGGCTCAGCCTGGGAAACAGGGAGAGTTGTTGCACCTTCCCCAAAGGCTGTTCCAGGAGGATGGGGCTGGGTTGTTCTCCACCTTCCCAGCTCCCCAGGGGAGGCAAGGCACGGAGAGAAGTTAATTTGCAGGAGGAGATTGAGGTTAAGCTTTAGGAGGGACTTCGGGGGCGGCACGACGCCGGTTTTCAGGAACATCTGCCGGCTCCGGCGCCGGGGGAGCCAAGTAGGTCACCCTTCAAGGTCCCTTCCCAGCCCTACATGGAGGGCTCGAGCTGAGGGGCTGGGAACGACCCCATTTAGAGCACCCAGCAGGCCGGGAACGTGACTGGGCTGTCCCTGAGTCACTCAGGGTGTCACAGCCCGGGGAAGCTGCTCCCCATCCGTAGGCAGCGGGAACGGTGCCGGAGCCGCTCCACTCTCCCGACCGAGATCCCTCTGCTCCCTCCCTCCCTGGCAGGCAAAGCTCACCTGAAAAAAGCCATCATGAAGCACGAGGAGGCCATGAGGATCCACGGGTTGTGCAAGATCCTGAGGAAGATGGACATCCTGCAGGAGGTCCTGTCCTTCGCCCACAAACGCTCCCTGAGCAAATACTCAGAGATCGACCACGAGGAGGATTTCTTCGAGACGGGAGATGCCCCAGACATCCACCGTGAGTGGGGTGGGGGTTTTTTTTGGGGGGGGAGTGCAGCTGGGGAGGGTGTTTTGGGGATTTTTCGTGGGGTGGGGAAGCTCCACAGTGAGTTCACGGCATGACAGGGTGGTTCTTTAAATTCCCTTCCAACCCGGACCGTTCCAGGATTCTCTGCTGCCTGAGCAGGTCCTGGTTCTTATGGGTCCCACCTTGGGAGACGTGGAGGTAGAAATTGCCTCCACAACCCCCTGAAGTCACCCCCCCTGTGTGTTTTTTCTCAGCCAAAACCCACCAGAAGCCTGAGATCAAACCCCCCAACTTCTCCCAGGTGAAGGTGACCGACCTCTTCCACAGGCTGGTAGGTCCAGCTCTGGGATAGAGGATATCCCAAGGGAGCAGACATCCCTTCCTCCTCCTCCTCCTCCTCCCCTGCATGCTCTGCTTTGCCTGCTTTCCTTCCTCCCCCAGCCTCTTCTCTCTGTGCCAGGCAGTTTTCCAAGAAGGATGAGCCGCCTCCTCGCAGGCAGGAGGAGAGTTGGGAGGGCACAGATCCGGCTCTGCGAGACCTAAATGGGTCACAGAGCTCCTCTGGGAGCTGGCACGGGCATTTTGGGGGGGTTTTGACCCAAGGGAGCCCTGAGAAGAAGGTTTGTGGGGCAGGAGGCAGCAGGAAAATCCCACTGGAGCTTTATCCCGATCCTTTCAGGTTTGTGGGTTCTTGGGGAACAGGACTGGGGTTCAGGGCTGAGCTTTGGGATTTCTGTGGGGTCTGGCTGTGCTGTCCCCACCCCCTGGGCACCCCAA